AAACGGCTTTGATAATCAGCCCGATGGCTATACATCGCGATTTCGACTACGGCCTCAATTCGGGTTCAATATCCGTTTGTAACCCATTTGTGCTCACTTCCCTCTCTCCACTCCGCAGATCATTCCCGCTGGCGGGCTGTTGCTGATGGGACAGTTAGGTACTTGGTTGCTCAGAAATAAATGAGCGTTTTCAACTATATTGTTTAATATGTGTTCCTTCTTTGATGAGCTTACACGAGGTTGATAATGATGTTTATTTTCGGCTAACGTTTCGACGTCATCGTCTTCCTCAGAACCATCGACATCGTCTTTTTCGGATCATCGGCTCTGAGGAAGACGAAGACGTCGAAACTTGTTTTTCTTCCGGACATAATCATCGCGGACATCGTGCAGAAGTCGTTGTTAGAACAACTGATAACAGCTTTGTGCTAGCTGATTTATACTACGTCATACTTTAATGTTTTGCTGCTCATGCTCATAAAAGCAGTAATTTCCATACCTGTAACCTCTATTATCTCATTAACTGGTAAGTGAGCTTGGTGGTAGCTCATTAGCCTTGGAGTGTTCGCACAAAGGCTTTTTTAGTGACCTTAAAAATCTCGATTCTGTTAACATTACGGTGCTCTCCGTTCTTTACCAGAATCCAGTAAAGGTTTTGTAGAATTCCAAACTATCATGGAGCTCGTTTAGCGCAGTGGTTAGAGTCGAGGTGCAATACACGTGGGGTCGAGTGTCCTAGGCTCACCAAGTCCTCCATCCTTCCCTGGATGTCAAATTGATGCTGAAGTTGTCTGTGAAGATAGCAGCACTAACTTAATTAGGTAAGTCACCACAAGTCCTTGTATATGGCGCACATGCATTCAGTCACCTCTAACGATGCTCTATGATGTCGAAATCAATGCCACATCCCTCAGACATTGATCACCGTCGATTACTTTATTCCTCCTTATTTTAAGCTATCAAGGATGATCTTACTCGTCGTATAGAACTCGTACGTTATGAGCCTGCTGGTTGCATTTCCGTCTGTTGCTCCCGAATTGGAATTCTTCAGCATCCTACTGTGACAAACACTGTCTCCGTAATTACTACGTACAGACGATGCGAATTTCCCAGGGTTAGTTCTTCAATCCCATAAAAAGTGTCGGTCATATCCGTGCCATAATTTGATTGGAGCCCAGACGGTGAACGTTGCCAAAAAGGAGATGCTTCACATGTTTTTAAACGGGAACTGCAATACAGCTAGGTAATGGCTCAAGGCAGGAAGCGCAGCCGCTACAGATTCCTTGCAGTACGTGCACCCTGCCAACTGCTTCGAATCTGCATTGAGCCACTCAAGTCTCCCATTCCTCCGGAGTATAAAAATTGCTACCAGAACTGTCTGAGAAGAACTCCCTCCGATCCGCAAAGGCTGGAAAATCCTTTCGTGAAGACCTGCAGACGTTCTAACAGAGCAGTTCCAGGATTTCACGGAGAATCTGCTCGACTAACACTCAAAGGCGCTGATGAGGAACTCAAAATTCTCAAGTGTAGTAGCAGCTCAGCACACAAATAAATCCGAAGAACCATGATGTAATCACCTTTTGTTTACCGTTTATTCTTTTTATGGTAGAGTGTGATGTGAAATATACCCGCAGTGGTGCTGAGATATTTACAAAACTCCGGGCCGCAGGTGTCTGCGGTAGGGATCGAACACGCTGTTACACCTTTCGGAGGCTAACGCCACACAATGAGAATCCTTCGTTTCGCCTCTCTCTCTCAGCCGTATTTTATAAATCTGAAGACTGACGATTTAAGGCAACGAACCGACTGAAAGAAGTGCTTGCTCAGCAGAACATATAGTGAGAGGCCATATAAAAAATAATAAAGTTGTACAGATAAATTGATATTCGTGATCAAGACCCTGTTGAGAAAGACAGAATTTCTATTAACTCCACTCTTCTCTACTGTTGCATGGTCCGAGGTAAGAACGCTGATCGAGTGCAGTTTTCTACTGAATAGCGAGGTAGCCTAGAGCGTTCCCCAAATTTTCACCGTGAACATTTGCTGCTTCATGTGGATCAGAACAAAGTTTGCTGCCTTATGACCAAGATTTTTCTATGGTGAGGACGAATCCTAGGATTAGCTCACCTACTCGCGGAAGGTGCAACAAACCGCTTGGAAGGAGCGAATCCAACCACTACAGCATATGAAAACGATACTTCTGTAGATATACAGAGCCCATTTGAAATTAAGACTAGTTAAACTATCACTGAACAATCAAAACTATCAACAGCCAGCATCCTGTATAAAAGGCCATCGCTGAGTGAGTACGGCTAATACAAGAGAGATGCTCCACTGAAGAAGACCGGGCTCGAAGGGCGATGAAGACGCCACCTCGAGAACACGAACACCTGTGGACCACCGACACGGGTTCCCGCCTTTGATGAAGACGAAACCGTCGAAACATCAGCAGTAAATAAACACTATTTACCAGCCTCGCGTAGGCTTATCAAAGAAAGGATACATAAAACAAGTTAATTTCAAGAAGAGCCACCTGCTGTTTGCAGCATAATGCTCCAAAGAGCACGGTCATCGTTTCGATCAGACCATTGAAGACGAACGAAAGTCCAGTACTAGCACTGATCCTACAGTTGCAATGCAGACTAAATTCTGCATAACTTCAAAATTCTGCCCGGATGTTCCCGGACGCACATACCACCTTCGAGAGCTAACTGAACAAACTTGGATATCGCAAGGCAAGTTGACAATGATTTCACAACGTCATAGTGATTTTAATGAAAGCACGAGTTTCAGTGCCTGTGAAACATTGCTCTTTTTCGGTAAAGCAACCTATGAAAGCAGTTATTACTAGTGACGATTGGTAGGTACATTTAGTTACTTGGATACCTGGACAGCCCGTCATCAGTGGTTGTGTGGGCTCCAGCATAATTTCAATTTTTTTGGAGTTTTGGTGGTTTAGCCGTTGTGGTTCACTGGAGTTCTGAGGTCACCCTAGCCAAGGTCTGCTCCAGGTGGTCAACACCGCAGGCAGTCGCCGCCCTTGAGGATCAGAGGGAGATTTGCCACCATGTAAATGATTGTCTTCTATCGTTAAACTCAGTTAGGAGACCTTTGCATCTTAGAACTGGAAAAGAGGTAAGGACTTTCTCAACTTTTTGAATGAAGGTTTTCTACCGTTGATTGTGATTTTGCCAACACCCTCAACCTTAACTAGGTTCAGTGCCGATTCGTACTTCCTGGACATTTCCCGTTGATAGGTGATTGCTGACCGCACCGTTAGGGTAAAGAACTGGCTCATGGAAAGGCAGAACGATGGCGCATGCAGTGCAGTGAGTAACACGTGAGATGCCGGAAAGGGTATTGGAGGGTTCGATTCTGAACCGGGGTTGAATTCTGCAAGTATCTCAGCATCACAATGTTATACCTTTTTATTTTCTGCCTATTATAATTTCGCGGCAGGGTACTAAGCGAAATTATAATAGGCAGAAAATAAAAAGGTATAACATTGTGATTTCAACTACAGCCGCAGCTTAACTGGGTCCTATGCCGATTTGGGCGCCCCAGGTCAATCCCGCTGACGGGTGATTGCTGTGGCAAAGATCGATAGAAATAGCTGAGAGACAAGCGAAACAAAGGACCCGCATGGTGTGGTGGTGAACGCGCTACTCCCCAGAAAAAACGATAGCGCGTGTTCGTTCCCCACCGCGTACACCTGAGGTCCGGAGTTTTGCAAATATCTCAGCAACGTTGTGGTTGTATCTCATCATCATTGTGGTTGTGTCTTCTACCTTTGTTTCCTGAAGAGACTCGATCCGACTGTGGTAATATATAGTTTCCATAAGAAGCTTATTACACTCCGCCAATGATCCGTACCTTCTGCAAAAGTGGCCGTAAATCCAGAAGGAGCGCTCACCAGATTTTCAGCCTACGTAGTTGCATAGGACGGATTTCACCCGTGAGCACGGACGAGTTGTGCAGAGAGCGGCTTCTTTTCGTCTCATATTTAAATGTGATTCACGTGTTTCCATCTAGTTTTTCGTACATTTCTATTACATAGTTTTCTTAGTAAACGTCATAAATTGAGAGAAGAGTGTGAGTCACGTGATATGGCAGTTTTCTTCACGTGTTGTGTTTCGAAATTAATGAAAACCTTGTTTACTTGGGCACATTACCTTAGTTCTACAGTCTATGAGGACTCGATCACCATTTGATTCGTTTTGAACTGGTTGGGTAACTTCTTTCATGGGAAGCTTCGAAGTCTCTCATTGTCTTCTCTGAACTAGTGACGACGTTTTTTACTTTGATATTCATTTTGTTGCTTTTTTACTTTGTGATTAAAGCGGTTAAGAGATTAGAGATACATAGAGATTAAGGTCTATTAAGAAAACTAGTAACATACGTAAGTTTTTCCAGATTTTATCTCATGCTGGGGATTTGGTTTCCGAAGCTTCATACTTTCTCAATGTGGTTAGGGCTGATGACCAACTGATTCATTTTCGCTCTGTATCGACATTTACTACATATGGAAACAGCTTTCACTTTTTTTGAGGTCGAATTTTAGGGTTACTTCCTAATCTTCCAGGGCTGTTTTCTTCGTCTTTCGTGCTTTGTCGCGTACGTGTAGCGCAGTGATCGGAGGCGCTCTACATCACACGTGGAATTGATCCCATCGCCCCAGGCTCACCAAGCCTTCCATCAATCCGGGTTCTGCAAATTGGTAGCAGGCTTGTCTGGGAGGATAGTGGCACTGGCTCGGTATATCGGTGGGCCACCGCGAGTCATTGTATAGGCCAGATATGCATTCAATCACCTCTAAACTATGCTTAATGAAGTCGAATGCATGGCGCATCTCTATCAACGACGAGATCTTTATCCTTTTATGCTCTTGTGCTTTGGTAGTGTATGTGTTTTAACGTTATACTTGTTCACAGTGCTAGACAAGAAGCCATGTTGTAGTTTGTACTTTTATTTCAGGTTTTACTTAACCTGCTTTTGTAAAAATGAGTGATGATGAAGAACCGACGACGGGCAACAAGCCTCTCCGTCTTCCGAAGAAAGCGGCCAATGTTAAGAACAAGGTGTGAATGTGACTAAACCATCTTGTTTGACATCCATTACTTGCTCTTTTAAAGAGTTATACCAGGTTTTCTTCTGCTTCGCTCAGCAAAATTTTTTGTGATGTTATCCAGACCTGGGCTTTTTCGTCTTGAGAATTTCGTTCCTTTTATAGTAGCATTCTAGTCATTATTGTTTTGTAGGCTCCTGCCCAACTTCAAATCACTGCTGAACAGCTTCTTCGGGAAGCCAAAGAACGTGAGCTTGAGCTGATTCCTCTGCCTCCGAAGACCAAGATCACTGATCCTGATGAGTTGGCGGATTTTCAGCGTAGGAAGCGAAAGGAATTTGAAGACGGAATCCGTAAGAATAGGTAAATATTAGGTCCCACTTAGATTGTTTCGTACTTACCTATTGCATAAGTTGTTGTTGCAGAATGCAGATTGCAAACTGGATAAAATATGGAAAATGGGAGGAGTCTATTGGTGAGATACAGCGGTCACGTTCTGTCTTCGAACGTGCTCTTGATGTTGACCATCGTTCTATTACTATTTGGCTACAGTATGCCGAAATGGAGATGAGGTTGCTTATTCTAGTTCTTTCCATGTCATCCAGAGAATCTTTAGTTTATTTCTAAAATGTGGCGTGTGTAACGCAATTGTCGGAGACGCCCTGCAGTACACGGGAATCGATCCCCACGCCCAAGGCTTACCAAGGCTTCCATCTCTTCGGGGTTGGCAAACTGTTGCCAGATTTGTCTGGAAAGATAGCAGCACTGGCTCGATACATCGATTGGCTACTTCAAGTTATTGTAAAGGCTAGATGTGCATCTAATCACCTATAAACGATGCTTAATGAAGTCGAATGCATGGCCCATCCCTCAGGGATTGATTATCGTTGAATGCTTTATCTTTATCCTCCACTACTTTTAAAATGTTTTGTGTTTTCTACCGTTCTAATAGTAGTAGCTTTTGTTTCTTTATTGTCAGAAAACTGCCTCTGAATTTTTCTAGGAGTAAGCAAATCAACCATGCGAGGAATATTTTCGATCGTGCTGTCACTATTCTTCCTCGGGCTATGCAGTTCTGGTTAAAATATTCATATATGGAAGAAGTCATAGAGAACGTCCCAGGAGCTCGTCAAGTGAGTGTCTACTTACTCTTTGCGTCCATGGTTCTGTTTTTCGTACAAAAAATAGAAGTGAAAAGAAATCTATATTCTTCAAGGTTTTGGAGTTTTTTTCGCTTCTTTTTAGCTTATTCCTACTAGCTCAGTGTCCGATAGGATTATAGTGAAGTGACAGCATACTGTAGGTTAAAAACTCAACTTTATCTAGCTCATTATCTATTGTAAATTCTTCTATTCGAGGAAGTGTTTTAGCTGCCAACAAAAATTTTGTTTGGTTTTGGTTTGACAGTGGAGGTTTTTGAACATATTTCTGTTTAAGCGAAGGAAAAATTATTGAGATACCATTTTTATGCCAGAACACCACTTTGATATCTAGACAGTCTAAGTAAAAATTCAAAAAATAACTGCTGTTGCTGAATTACTGTTATCAAGAGCTAGTACAAGGGAATTATTAAATGGATGGAGTATGGCCTGCTTTGAATATAAGGGGCACGTGTAGCGCAGCGATCGGTGGAGCCCTGAAGTACACGTGCGATCAATCCCCGCGCCCAAGGCTCGCCAAGCTTTCCATCTCTCCGGGGTTGGCAAATTGGCACCTGACTTGTCTGGCAGGATAGCAGCACTGGTTGGAACATCGATTGACCACCGCGAGTCATTGTATAGGCCGGATATGCATTCAATCACCTCGAAGGATGCTTAAGTCGAATGCATGGCGCATCCCTCAGGGATTGATGAACGCCGAGGACTTTATCCTTTATCCTTTATTTACGGCCTGCTTTGTAACAGTCATGATTTTTACTTTAACCGACTTTAAGTCTTAGCAATATTCGTTATTTAAGACAAATTTGGCTGATTTATACATAGATGAGTTTAAATCCGATTGGATTGCGTCGCGTTGTGGTCTCTTTGTTCTTGAAATGGTCATCCATATTTCAATATAAGAATTTGCTATTACACTGTTTAAATATATGGCATGGTTTGAGATCTACGAGCGATGGATGGAATGGGAACCAGATGAGCAGGCCTGGCAAACCTATATCAACTTTGAATTGAGGTGATCTGGAAGTTCTTCCGTATATACCGTGGGTTTCAGAAGAGCTGTAGCTTAGCGTTTTTTGTATGTTCCCATTTTAGATACAAAGAAATCGACCGAGCTCGTTCTATTTACCAGCGGTTTTTGCATGTTCATGGAACAAACGTTGTCAATTGGATAAAGTACGCTCGTTTTGAGGAAAAGCATGGGTATATTGGCAATGCGAGAGCGGTAGGAACTTTTCGATTCTAAATTTATTCAATTATGCTTGAGAAATGAAACCAGGAAATCAGTTTTGAATCAGATAAATTACTCTTTTTCTGTTGTCCTTTGTATGAAAGATGAAGTTTAAGGTATTTGAACGAGGAATGGAGTATTTTGGAGAGGACAACATCAGCGAAAAACTTCTTATTGCTTTTGCCTTATTCGAGGAAAGGCAGAAGGAACATGAAAGGGCTCGTGTTATTTATAAGTAGGCTTGACTTAAGACTACCCATCATTGTTTTCTTTTTCCTTTAAGGAAGTTTTAAACATAGGATAGTAGGAAAATAATTCGTAACATGCTATTATTTTGATCAAATTGTCGGTACATTCTGAGATGGGCAAAATTGGGAACTTCAGGTGGGTTTCGAACGCGTGATTGTCCTTACAGGACCTTGTGTGGTGTTCACTACACAAACTAAGCCTTTGCCTTTCTTTGGGCCAGTTTTTTACTTTGGCGACCTTTACTGTAGCGGTGCTATCAGCCTACCAGCGGTCACCCGTCAACTGAAATTATCTGGCGGGAGGGGTTAATCAATGGTGGATGTCGCCATTTTCATACTGCTTTTGTAATTTCTGTGGTACGATCAAATGGTGGGTTCTGTCGTTCAGAGACAACTATCACTAGTTGACTGAGAGGTGTGGGGGCATGCTTGGTATGGGGATAGAGATTGAAACTTTTTCCATGTCAGCGTTTGTGACGCCTAAATGTTGCCCAGTTTCCTGCTCTCTATCACAATTTCTGTTCACTTTTGTTATCACGAAGCGGTTGCAGTTGGGCCTGATTCGATATTAAGAATCTTCCTTTCCTAATTAACATTTTTATCATACTATCTTACTTGGCATCTGTAATAAGTCTTTCTTGACATTCGAGGGTACTTTTAGGTATGGATTAAGTCGTCTTCCTCCTGAGCGCACTGCTGATATTTTTAAGCACTACACCGTCCACGAGAAGAAATTTGGGGAAAAAGCGGGTATTGAAGATGTTATTGTTAGTAAACGGCGGACGCAATATGAAAAGGTACGATGTACGATGTACTTTTTATATAATTTTTAATATTTATTTACTGCCTATTATTTTTTTCATGGCCAGGATATTATGTGATATACAACCACAATGGTGCTGAGATATAAGCAAAACATGGAACCGAAACTGAGCCTCGAACCCGCCATCACCGTTTCTGAGGGCTTACGTGTTATCCACTGCATTACCAAGGCCCTTGGTTTGCGTTTTTCTCGTCTAGTTTTCTACCTATCTAACGCTGCCATCAGCAATTGCTCATCATCGGGAATGGTCCGGGGAGGACAAATTAGCATTGAATCCAGTTAAGCTGAAGCTGCAGTCGAAACCACATTGTCTAACTTTTGTTTACTGTGTATTTTCTTTCTCTATCTTTTCGAAGCTCACCTAGAGTTCTGAGTTTTACTCACAACTGGGCGTCATTGTGGTTTTTTTATCATAATTATGGGGGGAATTTGTCTTAGCACTTGTTCATAAATGTACCAACTGCTATACATTTATACGAGGTTGACAATGGGTTCGCTATCGTTTTCGAATACTTTGCTTTGTTTAAAGCAAGTAGCCGAGAATGCTTATAATTACGACGCTTGGTTCGATTATTTGCGATTGCTGGAAAATGAAGAATGCCCAAGAGAGGAAGTTGAAGATTTGTACGAACGGGCCATTGCAAATATTCCACCACATGAAGTAAGCTTGTTTCAGTATATGTTTCGGTTTTACTTGTCGCTAGAACTTTATTCTTGCCTTGTTTTTAGCCTTTATTTCTTTCAACATTTTCTTTTAAGGAAAAACGTTATTGGCGAAGATATATCTACCTTTGGATAAACTATGCACTTTATGAAGAACTCACGGTGCGAGATATTGAACGGACGAGACAGGTGTCTTTTATGAGTAGTTCAGTTACCTGAGTTCCACGATTAAGAAATGCGCTGGAGAGGCATCTGAAATGTATACATTAGTATTAGTGTGCATCTAATTATTTACTTTTGATTGTTGAATATAGATGGCCTTAACACTTATGCCACGACGTGACCTCTATGGGAGTCATAAGGTGCGACGAATGATGACTGTTTTCATTATTACGTACTTGGATTGCCTGTCCTTACTAATTGTGCGGAACTAGCGTAATCTCCATTTTCGGAGTTTCGCTGATTTAGCTATTGTGGCTGCTTAGAGTTCCGAGGCCAGCCTGGCCAAGGTCTGCCCCAGGTCGTCACCACCGCAGGTAGTCGCCTCCTTTGTGGATCAGAGGGAGATTTGACACTATGCGACTAGTTTCATACCAGGACGGTAGTGGATTCTGGTATTGATTTACCCTTAGCTGGGCTTACCGAAGGAAAACCTGGACTCCTCAGTTTGAGAGGCCATGTCAGAGGACGAATCCCTGCTGTACGTCGCAGCTCAGCATTTAAGAACATCTTCCAGCCACAATGAGGCAGTAAATCGTTGGGAACGTTTTCAACATTTAATATGTATGTACATGCACATATGCATATATATATATATATGTATATATGTTCGCAATATATTGTCTATGTCTGCGGCTCCTGCTTTTCAACTGGAAATTTTCGGAACTTGAATTTCTTTATCGTTTTTTTGGACGTTTATTTTCCAAATGTATTCAAATTCGATGGGACAGTGTGAAAAAGCATGTATGCGACTAATACAATGGAAAAAAATTCTCTTCTATAGACTCATATGTTATGGTTGTTCAGTTAGGATATTTTTTCTGTACTCAAGGTATACAAGGCGTGTCTTGATGTGATTCCACACAAGAAGTTCACATTTGCGAAAATTTGGATCATGTTTGCTCATTTTGAAATTCGTCAAATGGATTTATTAGCGGCAAGGAAAATTCTTGTAGGTTTTTTTTTTGCTTTTTCATGGAGAATTAGTCGTTCTATGTGGAAATAATGGACGTAGTTAATTTTCGGTACTTCGTTAGATTTTTCTGGATATTTTAGGGAGTTTCCATAGGTAAATGTCCTAAAGAGAAGTTATTCCGTGCCTATATTGACCTAGAGCTACAACTACGCGAATTTGATCGATGTCGGAAATTATACGAGAAGTTTTTGGAACATTCGTCTGAGAATAGTAATACATGGATAAAAGTGAAGTTCTTATGCAGTTGTTATCGTTTTTGAATTCACTTAATGACTTTTTTATCCCAACTGTTTCTATCTTGTATTCATAGTTGTTTCCATTTAGTTCGCAGAACTTGAGACACTTCTTGGTGACGTCGAACGTGCTCGGGCTATTTTTGACATTGCTATCCAACAACCTGCGCTTGATATGCCCGAAGTATGAGTGGTGTATAGTTACAATTCAAGACTATTTCTGAAGGCGCAATGATGTAACTGATTTTTTTCTTTGCAGATATTATGGAAAGCATATATTGACTTTGAAATCAATGCCGAAGAATACGAGAAAGCTCGTGATCTCTACGAAGCGTTACTACAGCGGACGAATCATATAAAGGTCCGTTCGATAACTATTTTTCTAAATAGTTTGTCGATCAACGAATTTTTTCAGGTCTGGATTTCTTTGGCTGAATTTGAAATGTTCATTGGAAATCTTGACGGAGCGAGAAATGTTAGTATTTTGATCAAGTTTCCTTTTAGGACGCCGTGATTTTTTTAAAACTGAAGCAATCGGTCGCTATAGGTTTATGATCGTGCCAACCATGCATTGGAGAATGCCGAAAAAGAAGAACGTCTGATGCTTCTGGAAGCATGGCTTGATGCAGAGAAGAAAATCGGTGACATCAATGCTATTCATAGGTATGTTGCTAATCGTCTTTGTTTTTGTTTCACTCGGTCATGCGCTAGAAGTTTACCTTCGTTAACCCCTGGAGGAATCGCTTGTGATATGATTCTAGCGAAATTCTTTGCACATGTCAAATTTTAACAAACGTATCTGACCTTATAATGAGCTTTGTTATTTTGAATCAGGTTGTTTCTCCCAACAGTTTACCGCGTCATCGTGGCTGGGAGGTGTTCATAGGTGCCTAAATGCGATATACAGCGGGAGGATTCATCTCCTCAGCAGGGTTTCCCAAGCTGGGAAAAGGTCCGATGTTTCTATCAGGAAGCCTGGCTAAGAGTAAACCAATATCTACCACCGTCATGGTATCAAACTAGTCGTATAGTGACAAATCTCTGATTCACAAGGGCAGCAACTGCCTGAGGTGGTGAAGACCTGGGGCAAGCTTTACCCAGGCTGCCCTCAGGGTTCCAAGCAACTACAATGGCCAAACCAGCAAATCTCCGGAGAATGAGAATTATGCTGGGACCCGCATAGCTAGCGAAGACGGCTATCCAAATGTCCGAGTAAGTAATCAAGAGTGTTAAGATATGGAGTTCTTTACGAATGAAAACATGCTTTGCCATTATACTGTGATGAAATCTGGCTCTTTTTGGTGCAAAAAATGGTGCTTTTTCCACCATTTCATTCCTCTGAACTCGACTTTGAAACAGCGATCTGTATGGGCGAGCGAAATTCCATCCTCCAAGAAGCGCTAATGTTCTGCAATATATCTTTGCTGTTTGTAGTTGCACTATAAGTTTTGAGATTTTTTATTTCATTTTTACTTTTTTGGAAGGCTTAATCATTAAGAAGCGTAGAAGTGAGGCAACATTTAAGAAAAGAACTAGGTTTACTCTTAGGAAATGGGACTGCAAGTCCTCGATCACCGGTTCGAATCGGGTTAGCGCCTCCATTTAAAAACTAATTAATATATGTTTTTTTGCGCTCTTATCCTATTACCTTTTAATGCAATTTTATCTGCATTAACAATAATAACATTATCTCCACAATCAATATGTGCCTATGTTTTCGAATTCTCAATGCTCTAGTTATAATAAAACAGCTTTGGACTTTATGTGTTAACTGCGTTTCAAAGAGCTCTTTTTTAAAACGACATACTTCGTTTGCTCAGAGTGGAGAATATGATGCCACGTCGTGTGAAGAAGCGACGGCAGATCCAGACAGATGATGGCGTTGATGCTGGTTGGGAAGAATATTATGATTACATCTTCCCACAAGACCAAGGTAGTTTTAGTGTATCTTTCTAATGTTAGCTTTTTAATGCGTAGTGTTTTTTTTAATATTTTAATCTCCATGTTTTTCTAACGTTAGGCTAATTTCTGTATTGTAAGGAATAGATAGCATACATATGCGTTGTTTAAAAAGCTACTTAATTCCAGTGGGAAACGCATTTTTGAAGTGTTCACTTTGAAATTATTTTTGAAAAGTGGGGTTTTCTGTTACGTCGTCAACCTGATTTTGTTATATCTCTTAACTATTCCGCTACCCAAGTGAACTGTTATTGATTTCTGGGGTGTGTTAGTAACTTAGGTTTGTAATTCATTTTTTATCATAAGCCTAGGACGGTGGTCTTTGTTAGCGTAATGGCTGGTATCCACATCTCTTACATGGGAGTCGACTGGTATGGATGCCCTGTAGTACACAACAGACTGATCACCAGTTCGTTGCAGTGGTTGGTCTTAGCAAGCCTCCTATCTTTCTGTGGTAGGCAGATTGGTAACAAACTTGCCTGGGTGGGGAGCACCACAGACTTGACACATCGGTAGGCCACCTCGGGTACAGAGGTACCATTGTATAGGCCATATATGAATCCAGTCACATATAGCGATGCTTGATGAAGTTGAACGCATGGCGCAGTCCCTCAGGGATTGATCAACGTCGAGAGCTTTGTTCTTTATCCCTAAGCTTAGATTTCATTGTTCATTGGAAGAAGTAGTACTCCTTTAATCAATTCTTTTTAATACCATAAATGTTGTATTACAGCAGCAAAGGGCTCCTTGAAATTGCTGGAAGCGGCAGCTCGATGGAAGAGACAGCGAGAACTTATGGCTAAGGTGAATATTTTGAGGTTGTTTTTCACAGTAAGCTTAACTACTGTTTTCAGGAAGCTCAAGCTGTCGCGGATGATCACGATGTAGAGCGAGTTGTTGCAGATGAATCGGATAACGAAACTGTGGGGAGAGTTCGACAAGGTATGTTCGTGATTTTACAGTTTCTTGTCTTTTGTCGGCTTTAAATGTTATGTAGTTTTAGGTGATAGTGATACGGACATAGAAAGTAGTAGTAGCAGTGAATCCGATTCTGAGAGTTCTTCTAGCTCTTCCGATTCTAGAGGTTCAACGTAGCGATCGTACTTCGAAACGTTAAGTCATACAACTCTCTTGATTGTTTCTACCTCTTATTTCATTTCTTATGTTATTGTAAACGATGTTCAACAGTCCAGAGCGGACATTAATGGGAGTTCATAGACTTTTATGGCAGGTACTAACTGATACCCCTCTATTTCTTGATTTGAATCAGAATTACTATGGAAAGGAATATTTCTGTACAAATTTACATTGAATGAGTTTGTTTCGTCTTCGCCTAGCTGAATGTAGTGATTTAATTCTCACTATGTTTTCAATTGTTGAACTTACAAGAGGCTAATGTTTCGACGTCTTCGTTTTCGCCAGAGCCGGATGATCCGAGTAGATGGTCCACTGAAGAAGATAAGATTTCACACGAAGATGAAAACGCCACATCGGATCATTTTCTCTGATGAAGAAGAAGACGTCGAAACTTTAGCCGAATAAAAGTTGTTTTTCAACCTCGTTCAAGCTCGACAATTTAAAGCATGTTGATTATTTTATTACTGAGGTTAAGTGGTGACCGGATTGAAAGTTGCTCATACTCAGTGTTTTCCAGTTTTATGATTTCTGCCAATTTTCCTTTGCTGCGCACTTAGCAAAGCATCTCCTAGCTATCACAGGACATACTTAGTATGTTGGGAGCTGTAGAAATCGTTGAATACCTGACTTGTGGCGCACCATTATGTACCAATTGTTGTGTAAATATGTTAGTTCTTGTTGATATGCGATGATACTTAAGGTTTTTAAATTTTCTAACTACAGTTTTGTCTGTAAATCGTGTACTGGTAAATATTGATTTCCTCAATCGATCTAGATTATTCTTCGGTGGTTCTGGACCAGAGCTATTTCTTTTTTTTCGCGCTTTTCTCTAGTTACTTCCAATTGTTTTGCGGTACAATTATTGTTTTGAAGAAAAGAATCTTTTTTATTAGCATTGTGGCTATTTCCACTGGTATTTATGTGCGGTACAAGGTATATTGTAAGCATTATTTCATTCATGTTACAACAGTCGACCGCTCTTTAGAAGTATTGCAGAGGAACGGAGATAAATGATTTGTCAGTTACTTTTCAATGCTAGGCTTACTTAGGATTGTTTTCGAAGCTAGAGCTTTCTTATTACCTCCTTATCTTGCATTCGTCTTGCAATACACAGTTTTCATTCTATACATCCATACTTAATAACTCAAAAGACCGACTTTCTTTGAACCTCGACATACATATACTCTTCGCAAGAAACCATATCAGGTTCCACTTTGTCCCCTACATCTCCAATTCATCACTGTCACTCCTAATGAGAAGTTGATTGAGATCAGTGTTGAAGTCTTCGCAGGCTGATATAGCTTAAGTTCATAATATTCAGTAATTCTTGACCAGCAAAGTTAGTACAAAATGCTTGGGAAAGAGGAGAGTTCGAGAGAGATCAAGGTCATCCATAAATCCTCCATGGGTTCCTGAAGGTAGTTACACTTTTCAACAGGACATATCAGCTCATGATGAATCGAATTAATGAATTTATCAATCAAAATGAAAATTGTCGAGATCTAGAGGTCTTCTTCAACAGGATACAAGTTTTCTTATTCGATCGAGATAAACATTTGAATTTTTATGAAGATTTTATTTCTAAACTTGAAGTGAAAATTACACCTTAGGAACGTCACTGCTGTTCTTTGGAGTGATAGAGCAAAGTTTCTTTAATAACTGTCAAGTTATCAACTCCATAATTCTCCTAGTTAATAAAAGCTATCAAGAGCTATTTGAAAACCGTCGCCACTTTTATAGGGCACAGAAAGTTCAATTTTCAAGGCGAGTACCAAAATATTTCTAGCTGCTGACAGCTAAGAGTTTGGTAGATGAAGTGTAGTAAATTGTAGCACATAGCAACAGTATTATACCTCTTGATGAGTAGGTGTTCTACAACTCTAATGTTCTCAAGCTCTCTAGTTATCGAGGAAATTATTGTTTATTGTCGAAAAAGCCGGCGTTGCCATGTCTATTTTTGGGACGAGTTCTACCGCTTTTCCAGCTTCTAAGAAGTCAACTGTAGTTGAGTATGAGTTAAACAAACGGCTTAGCTCGTAGTAAACGTCATCAATTTGTCAGTGAAACACACGGCTGTCAGCTATGGTGGACCCTGCGGTCCAGAGTTTTGCAAATATCTCAGCAACGTTGTGGTTGTATTTCGCTTAGTAACCTGCCATGAAAATTATAGAAGGCAGAAAACAAAACGTTAAACGTCATCAATTTAGTTGAAAGTTGTCGAAATCAAGAGGATCTTGAAATGAAGATATAATCATCCTAGTCCTAACAACATAAAGTTATGTTTTCTTTTCTACGAAAATTTGAATCTGGAACAAATTTGATGTTTCTATGTTGTTTATTTGTTTGTTTATTTTTTCAATTTCATTGTTTCTAAGTACACTTTTTTTTGGAGTGATTATGCGCGCTCTTTCGGTATAGAAATGTTTCTTCTACGATTTCTGGACATTTCATAGTCGATAGTTATCCTGAAACCATCACCCGTTCTCTAGAAACCGTCGTGGTCCACCATAGCTGACAGCCGTGTGTTTCACTGACAAACAAGTTGGGAAAATCTATGCACAAATCAAATTGACTGTCATCCCTCGTGGCAATCCCCGTATCCCCTCGGCGTTATCTGTTAAACCATCTGGTTTTTCCACCGATGTTTTGCTTTAGATGAACATATTACAGAGCTATGAAAAAAGGAATGGAATACCACTCGTGCCTCAGAACCCTAGAGTTTTGTTCGATTTGGCATGTGTTAGTTCAACTTTAGAAGCAAGTGAAGAGTACCTGTTTGGGTTAGCTTGGGAGTAGGGGGAACCTATTAGTTTATTGAGATCAGAGTGAACACTAACGTGGCGTGGAAGGTAGGAACATAACCCATGCGTTTTCCTTCTCCCTACAGATTACTGAGGTCTATGTTAAGGCATGCAAAACTGTAGAATTCAAGATACGTGTAGTGTGGAAGCTGAATTTTCTGCCAAGTCTCGCGGGAAACGAAAGTGTAACGACTTTTCTATAAGATATATGATATCGTAAAGGACTTCGACTGTTGTTTCAGTTGTCTTTCTTTGATATGTTTACCTCGTTATGTATTTGACGTTTTTTCGAATCAACTCGCTTACGGCTTCCATCTAACTGTCGTCGTTGAAATTAATTTCTTCTAACTTTATTTCCAACATCAAGGCGGATAGCACAATGGTAGCGATGCCGGTCATTCCTCCGGGATCGGATAGTTGATACCAGAGTTATCCGAAAAAAGAATCAATTGCCGCAACCTAGTTTGGAATGTTCTAGTCCAGCTATTTCAGGCCTCCACTGGCAATCGACTGGACCTGCATTCTACAACATTCAAGATGAAGTTAAGATCCAGAAGCAGGACTCGAAGCAACGCCTAAAATTTGAAAGGCTTTCGTGGATGACGACGATAAGACGAAAAGGAATCGAATGTGAGAAGTGCTGAGGTCCGCACAGTAGACGTGAAGACGGGTCAAATAAAGAAAAGAAAGTAGAAAAATTACTTAGTACACTCATAGACCTGGGAGAGTTAAGGGAACAGAAAGTATTTTGATATGAGTTAGTTACAAATATTCTGAACCTCTTTTATTTGTGCCCGTCGGTCGTATAATTACGGGCCGCCTTACTTTTATGCGTGAAACAGGATATGCCTAGCATCCCGTTAATGATGGCGTGTTCGATAACGCTTGCCGATTTTCTTACAAGTCCAGTCTTCTGAAGGATGTGTTAATTTAGCAGAAATCATGGGGTCGAAGATATGGGCGCGTCGCCTGCCTTTTTTTTTACTTCATTGTATCTTCGACTGTATTGTTTGCTCACAAAGCGCCTTCTCGACTCTCAGATTAGGTCGCTTGTCGTGC